GTGGGAGATGAACACCTAGAGACTTTCAACCATAGGCTCGTATATCTGGATTCAAATTTTTATTCTACAGTAGGTACATTCTAAAGCAAAATTAAAGATTGATCAATAATCCGGTGTTTTTAAAAAGACTTTTCTCAGTGCTTACCTCTACCTCAAGAAAATTCTGTTGGTTAGACTGATATAATTTTATTAATACATTTCTCCAAACTTTTGTAACATTACTGTTAGAAAAACAATAGCTTTTATTTTCCCATGGTTTAGTTCCCATGGTTTTTGGACATGGGAAGTTTCTGTTACTGTTTCATTCTGTAGCTGTCTTATTTATATATTCCCTTTTCACATTTACAAAGTCTGATGGCATTCCTGTCATGCCCTTGGTGTTAGGGTCATACATTTCCAAGCAGTCCATATTTGTTGAAAACATGCAGAAGGTCGAAAACTTGTACACTGGTCGTGGCTCATAATATAGGTCCTTGTCTCCTACTTGTTACCCATAGTATGTGAGAGGATAAGTTCCAAAGTCAGTTTCTTTTCATCCAGCATAGGTGATTCCTAGTGAACATCTAACTATGAAAATAGTATTATCTATATTATAAAATTATTTCTGTAATATAGTTGGGCATGTATATCTTCAGTAAATCATTTCTATTGCTGATACCTACTTTTTGAGTTTCGTAGCTGATGGCTCATTTTCAAGGGAAGGCAAATTGAAGGTTTGGGATACATACTGAGAATTCCCTAGTATTAAACACTTGTTTTATAAAAACTTATTTTAAAGAAAAATCTTAGGCAGTTCGACTTATTTAAAGTAGTATCTACCATATTGGGTTCTAACTTTTAAAAATGAAAGCTCATTTGTTTTTTGCGATAAGTTCAGTGATTGATTTGTTTCTGTGATGTGCTATCAAGAGATAATAGTCACAGGAAGGTAATAGGTATATATAGTCACTAATAGGTATATCTCTAACTCCTTACAAATCCCAAATAGCATGCTTCTTTGATGGTAAAATGTATTTTTTATTTAGTGCATTTTTGAGATCCTTGACTAAGTGGTATGCTATCTTGAAATACTAATTCTATTTCTAGTGCAATTTAATAAGGATATAGTACTACTTTTCTCTTTAATTAAAAAGTTTTAAGAAGAGCCCTGGCTGGCCAGGTAGCTCAGTTGGTTGGAACATCGTCCAGATATTGGAGTTCGATCCTTGGTTAGGGCACATAGAAGAATCAGCCAGTGAATGCATAAATAAGTGGAACAACAAATCTTTCTCTCTCTCTCTCAAATCAACAAATAAAAATTTAAAAAAATTTTAAGAAAAAATGCTGCTGGAACCACACATTTGTATAAAGGCTAAGCATTTGGGGAAGTTTAATTATAAATGTTATTTAAGCACAATAAAGTTACTGACTTCTTTGATGTTACACATAAGTATTACTATGAGTGAATTGGTTCTAAATTATAGTTACTAATTACAGTCATTTGGATTATTTTAGTTACCTAAGTCAAAATGTAACATCTACAATGAGTTATTTTGATCTGTTCAATTTAAGTAATATTTTGTGCATGTGCACATGGATGTTATTCACACCTAGGGATAAGGCCTGGATCTTGCTCACCAAGTCTGGGATACTTTCTGACCCTTTCTTCCTTCATGGTCTTGGTTCCCTGTTCCACTTCCTATACCAGTACCCTCCTGTGTTCCCCTTGCTATGTGTACTGTTGTTTTTTTTTTCTTCTTGTCCTTCCTGACCCCCAATTCAAGGCTCTTCATGAACATAACCTTATTGATTCTTATCCTCCGGCCTCTTGGGACTGGCAACACCTAACTGTCCTGGGATGTGGTGATATGTGGTCATTGTCCTGTGGGAATGGAGTTCAGAAAATTCAGACTTGGATGGTGGTAGGCGGGGAAGGAGAGGAGGACGTGGTCAGCTGGGCTCCTAATTATATGGTTTATTGAGCTCTGTTGCTAAATAAGGGGAAGGTTTAGGCTTAGAGAAGCAGAGGGAAGAGATTGAAGTGGGGATATTTGGTCTTCCTTAAAGGAGAGAAGGGAAAAGCCAGAAGGCTCTGACTGGTCAGTTTGAAAAAATGTCTTCTCTGTCCCTTAGGTCCATGAAGCAGGTGTCCAGCCTGTATGAATTGGTGGCATATAATCATCATCATCATCATCATCAAACATTTACTGTGCATTGAGTGATATATACTGTGCTTTTTAAAATTTAATCTCAACAGCTCAGTGAGGGAGGTGAAATTATAGTCCCCATTTTCAAGGAGAAATAGCTGAAATTTAGGCCTATTAAATTCACATCATACAATTAGTAGGTGGTAGAGCATGAATATAAACTCATGATTGTGTAACTTCAAAGTCTCTGCTCAGTACTGTGTTCTTACTTGCTATATGGACGTAGGCAAGTCATTTAATTTCTTTGAAGCTCTCTTTTCCCATCTGTAAAGATTCTGATAGTGGTAGAGAGCGATAAAGGGCCTCCAAAGTCCCTGACTTACAGTTGGTGCTCCATAAATAGTCCAGTTTTCTTTTTCTGGGTCATTTCTTTCTCAGGGCAGAAAAAGGCTATGTGAGAGGAGCTCCCTCTCCTAAATCACTGAAGAAAATTTGCCTTTGAGCATTTCCTAGTTAGAGTAAACTAGAATAAGCCCAAGTCTATGATGTCGTTTTCCTCTTGCATTCTCCCCTGCCCCACCCCCCCGCCCCACACAGAGTCTACCCATCTGCATCAATAAACAGAAGCTCAGAGGTAGTTCCAATGTGTGCAGCCATGTATGCTTGCAACTTAAGTGAGACCACAAAGCAGCGTTTTTAAAGAAGCATACAGCTACAGTTAAGTTGATAGAAAATTGGACAGCAGTACTGAAAAATACACTTAAAGATCAAAAGAAAAGCATTTGCTTGTGATTAGTTTGATTTATACTGGGTTTGACCCAGGAGCTTCCCACAACTGCTTCCTTCCTACAAATTGCGCATTTATGAAATATACACACCCTTATGGCTGTCATATAATACGTATAAGATTTACTGATGACAGAAACTTATTACTGCTTCAAACAAATGCAAGCTATTTAGGCTTGCAAAAACAAAGGAAAAATGAACTGTGCAGATAATGAGTGACCTTGTAGTTTTTTCCTTAGCTGCTCACAGTTCATAATAATACCTAATTAAAGGGGACATTTTATCTTTCTAATAAGTGCATGGCTTGAGGAAGTGGTTCTAGGGATAAATGAGGCTCAGGAGTATTCAGTGAGATGCCACCTTTAATAAATAAATAAATACATAAACCAGTAACAGTTGTTTGTTATTGTTATCAAGTATTATGTACTGTATGTAATTGTATGTACTGTACTTTTATAAGACTGGCTGCTTCAGCAGCATCACCACCCACACATAACTAATGCATTACCACAGCTATGATGTCACTAGGTGATAGGACTTTTTCAGTTTCATTATAATCTTATGGAACCACTGCTATATATGCAGTCATTGTTGACCAGGAATGTCCTTACACAGTAGTAAATGTCCTTATGACTGTAGCAAAACCATATCACTTAATGTACCTGTTAATTTATAATACTTTTTCCTAAATCCCAATATATAATAAATATATCTGCTGATACAGTATTTAAAAATATATGTAATAAGGTTCTATCTTAATTCTTTTCTTCTTGATCCTGTGATCCTGAAATCCAATTCATTTGATTTTTATTAAAATTTTTTTTTTTTTATCCTCACCCGAGGACATTTTTCCATTTTTTACTCAGATAGAGCGGGAAGGAGAGAGAGGAAGAGAGAGAAACATCGATGTGAAAGGGACACATCGAGTGGCCGCCACCCACACGACCCAACCAGGGCCGGGGACAAACTGCAGCCAAGGTACATGCCCTTAGCGGGAACCGAACCCGGGTCTCTGTGGACCGCAGGCTGACGCTCTAACCGCTGAGCCAAACCGGCCAGGGCATGATTTTTATTAAATTTTGAAACTACTCTGACAATCATGCAATATATTGTGTACAAATATACATATATATATATAATATAGTTACATTGATAAGTTTTATATGAGTTAAATTTTTATCTGTTATTCTAGAAATTTTATTATTTTAGTGTCAACATTTCATTGATTTTTGTTTTTTACCTTTAAATCTAGGCAGCTGAAAGGAGTTGTTTTTATTAGTATAAAGATGAAAACAAAATCACTATATACTATGTATATGAAAGAGACTGTTTTATTTGAAAGGTTTAACATATTACACCGTATATCCATTAGATTTTACATATCCTTACTAAAATAGATATTTTTTTCTATTTAGAAAAATTTTCTAGTAGAAAATTTTACAGAGAAGAAAAGAATGACTGGAGATTAAAGACTATGGTACACAAACATGTCTAATAGTCTCAGACATACTAGTTTCCCTCCCTGCCTGCTAGATGCCTGGAGCAGGAAACGATCCAATATACAAGATATTTGGGCCTGTGATCTAAAAGAATTTAACATCCCCAAACACTGGATATGAATTGGACTCAACTGGAGGGATTGTTCAGCAGATCCTCCATTTGTATTACTTTTTGTGCTCAAACAAAAATACAGCTGTCTAAAGAGTTTTAAAAATTACTTCTAAAAGTGTATTAAAATACCCAGTTCAGCTTACAGTTTTTTCTTTTTGCTAATATGCATTTTTCTTGGCTACTTCTCTTCCTCATTTGTAACAGTCACACTTACTTTTACGTAATAAAGAAATGGAAAAATTATCAGGGAACCTTTCTCATAAAATTATTTTAGTTTTATAGAGCAAATAAGAATTTAAGAAAATAAACATGAATGTTACTTAAATTTTAACTCTAGCTTTTAAATAATATAATTTTTATTACTATGTCTAACAGTATATTAATATACTTTTGATGTAAGCAAAAGTATAATTTTTATCTGTGTTTATTATTTATTGCTTAACAAGTGATACTCCTAATTAAATTTTTCTATTACAGCTAAAAGATGGTGGCAAAGCATCCCAGGCAAATGTGAGAATAGGCGATGTGCTTCTCAGCATTGACGGAATAAGTGCCCATGGGATGACTCACCTTGAAGCCCAGAACAAGATTAAGGGTTGTACAGGCTCTTTGAATATGACTCTGCAAAGGTAAATTGCTTTTTGTTTGGCTCTGAGAGAGAAAAACGACACTGGGGAATGTATTTTTGTATGTCTGATTCATAGTGTTAACTAAAAAGGAGTTTTTACTATCCTTTTCTCAGATAAATAAAAAATATAATGGTTCTTAAATTGAGTAATAGAGCAGTATAAGTATTGGTGAAAACTTTGGATTATTTCTCCATAAAAAGGCATGTATTCACATACAGAAATTGTGTGTACAGCTCAGTGAGTTTACGAATTCCTGAAATTTCTCAATGGAGCTCAGGCTAAGAATTCTTATTAAGGGATAAAATCCTTTGCCTTAATATTCTGGGCATTCTATTAGAGGGTGTTCTTTTAAGATATGGGTTGAGCCCTGGCTGGTTTTGCTCAGCAGTTAGAGCGTCGGCCTGCAGTCCAGAGAGACCCGGGTTCGGTTCCCGCTAAGGGCATGTACCTCGGTTGCAGTTTGTCCCCGGCCCTGGTTGGGTTGTGCGGGTGGCAACCACTCGATGTGTCCCTTTCACGTCGATGTCTCTCTCTCTCCCTCCCACTCTGTCTGAACCAAATATGGAAAGGTGTCCTAGGGTAAGGATTTAAAAAAAAGATAAGAGTTGACTTTTCTTAGTATAGTTTTTCTCTTTTTCCCTGGATAGAAAAATAATTTCTTAATATACTCATATGCAGTCCAGATTTTCTGAACTTACTATTTTTTTTTTTTTAAAGTTATCTGGCCTCAATTATAAAATGGCTAATCATGTCTTTCATGATACTATGTCAGACATTTTTAATATCTCAACATTTGACCTACATTGGAATTACCTGGATTGCTTTTTTGCTTTTTAAGCATACTGATAGGAATCAAAATCTCTGCAAGTAAGACACACACACAATACACACACACACACACACACATTAATCCACTCCTAAGGATATGCTTATGGATTAGAGAAGAGGGGAGAGAGAGAGAGAGAGAGAGAGAGGGAGACAGGTACATTGATGTGAGAGGTAACATCGATCAGTTGCCTTCCATCCACGCCCTGACTGGGGACTGAACCTGCAACTTAGGTAGGTGCCCTGACTGGGAATTGAACCCACAACCTTTTGGTATATGGGATGATGCTCCAATCAATTGAGCCACACCGGCCAGGGCTAAGAATTATATTTTAATAAGTTCCCTGTGAATATTATGAATTATAAAGTTAGAACCACTACAGTATCTTGGGCTGTGTGGAGGAGAAAGAAGAAATGAAGAGAGGGTGATTGAATGATAGCCCTGAACCTTTAGGTTTATAAGGAAGGTGGCTATCATTTATCAGGTGGTTATGGAAAGTTTTAAACAAGTTTTGTTTTTAATGATTGCAAAAGTGTTTCTACTTTATAAAATTTGGAAAACACCTTTTTCCCCAAAACATCTCAAAGTTTTTCATAAATTTTCTTGTGTATTGTAAATCTTTTAAGAGGGGAATAACATATGTGGTACCTTCCAGACATGTTTTGCTATGGAAACTTTTTTGAGTCTAACCTGGGACTATTTAAAGGATATATACAGGGTAAATTATATGTACTTGTCTGGAGGAGTATCGATTTAGTCTTAAAACTGAATAGTAAAATTTTTTATGAACTTAGACATATAGATATACTTTGATGTATCATGATTTTCTAACCAGTTTCTTTTTCTTACCCCCTTGAGGAAAATTCCTTTCAGTGGGACTGTTGAGTCAAAGGTTGTGTGTATATAAATTCTGGTAACTATTAACTATACATTTTCATGCCTATAAAAGTAATCAATGTGAAATATAACCTTGCTAAAAAGTTCTGTTTTGATAGTGTGCTTTCTGCCCATAAATGAAAGTACTCATTTTTATTTATGAGCATTTTTACTAAGTATGATTTTTGAAAGGGAACTTAGATGTCAAGAAGCCTAGCTTATATGAGATAGCAACAAAACAAAATAAATACAGATGATAATGGGCTGTTTCTTAAATTCTAAAGCTGAAAGTTTATGTAGGGTATAAGCTCTTCCCTTGGGCCATGTATCATTTCTTTCGTACCTGCTTACTTGTTTTCACATTGTGCCCCGTTTTATGATCTAGGACTCAGTATCTTATTTTCTATTGAAGCCAATTCTAGGTCCCATAAGAACAGATAAAAGCCAGAAGTTACCCTGTTTGGGTACATTTCCAATTTGAGTAGTAATCTGCTACTGCCTTTAATACAGATTCTTTTAAGCTACTTAAATGCAAAGTCTGAGAAGCCAACTTGTTATAATCATTTGGAGATACTACTTAATCTTGTCTTCATATTTCTGAATATTGATATTCAGAGATCTAAAATATGAGAGAGATTTCTAGAGTCAAGTTTTTTAATGATTCTTGTGTTAGGTAATGCCAGCCTGAAAAGAGATTTATTTGCATTTAAGAAAATTGACGATATAGTGTTGACAGTGCTACTGAAGAAATACTTTTTGCCTTTAAGGAAAAATAAAACTTTGTAGTTATTTTCAGTTCTTCTCTATACTAGGCTATTCTCCGGTTGAAGTTCTTTTCTTTCTCATATCAAAGCAGTTATTTTTTCTTTCGCTTATTTTTGAATTTGAACAACAGCATCCTTCATTGGCCTCCAGTCACCTTACCTTCTTTATCCTATCATCAGCTAAATTGCTCTGTATTCTCCTTCCAAACTGAGTTACCTACAGCAGTACTTCCTCTATGTGAGTCTTCATAAGCATGTAGCTTTCCTCATGAATATTCCTTTAAATACTTGACTTAGTCCAGTTTCTGTAGAAGCTGAGCCTGAGATGGGATTCATGTGCAGGTCATACATTAAAGGGAGTGAGTGAAGCAGGATTGGGAAGAGGAAACTGAGGTGAGCAAGGATGTAGTTTCACATCCTTTTGTAGACTGTGGTACAAATTGTACCATAGAGTCTGTCCTGTGTTGAGGTAAGGGAACTGGGCTTTTGCCCTTGCTCCCCTGCATTTATTAGTGATTGGCCACCAGCTATCCTGGAAGCGTGTGTATGTGTATGCACGGAAGGGCTAGGCTTCTGTTGCTTCTACAGCAAGTTGCTGGTGTGAACCATTGGCATCAGTGAAGGGAGCACCTCAGGGATGGGTGTACCAAACCAGTAGAAAGGTTCTAGAGGACTTAAGCTGGGGACCAACAGCATGTTCTATGAGATTCCATTGAGACTTGAGTCTTCTGCTCAGAGGATTAGGTTTTTTGTTACCTAGGCCCACTCAGATTGTTCTCCATGATCATCATTACTCAAAAGTGAATGCAGTCTTTCCATGTAAGATAGGTTTCTTACTGACCGTTACATGCTTTTATGTTCTCAGGAAGTTCAGTTCCTCTGGAATGCCTGCCCACTTCTTCAATGCTGATATGTGCCTCCACATACACAAACTCCATATCACACTCACCATCCACCATAGTCTTTCCTTACTATTGCAACTTTATTTTTTATTTTTTGCCTGTGAACCCCTATGACAAATTTATATCATTTCATTTAGTATTTAAATATACACTAGGGATAACAAGGTAGATTCCATACCTAATATTGCCTATGTAATGACCTGATTACTCCATGTAGTTCTGTTTCTCCAACCAGATTTCTTGAAAGCAAAGACCATGTCTTTTGCACTGTTTGTATTTGACATCTTGTATAGTTTTCTGTTTTAGTGTCTAATAGATATTTGATGGGTACCAGCATTATTTCCCAAAATTGAAGTCATTTATTTATTTCACAAATATTTTTTGAGCTCTTGCTAAGCTTAGCCAGGCATTGTTACAGATGCTGGGGACACAGCAGTGAACAGAACAGATAAAAATTTCTCCTCTCGTAGTGGTAACGTTTTAGTGAGCAGAGGCAGACAAGAAGTAAATAGAAACGTATAGTATACCATGTGGAGATAAGTGCTATGGGGAAAAATGAAGGGGAGATAGGGAATGCAGGGGTGGGGAATTGCAATGGAAAATAGAGTGGTCAGGAAAGCCTCAATGAGAAGATTCCTGGATATTTGGGTTGTAGTGAGCTAGGCAGAGGGAAGAGTCTGTGCAGTGCCTTGTCAGAGAGGTGAGTGTACCTGGAGCTGAGCCAGTGAAGGCAGGCTGGTAAGAAGTGAGGTCAGAGAGGTAGCAGAAAGTGGGTAGAGGTGGGACAATGTATAGGGCCTGTGGGTTACTGTAATATTTGTAATCAAATTTCAGTCTTTCTGGGCCTATAAAAAATTGTGAGGAAGACTTGGAGAGTTACAGCTTTTGGTCAGATCTACAGCAGAGTTTAGGAGAGAAATGACTTCATCATTGGAAAGAGGTGCTCAAAGAAGGAGCAGACCAAGCCTCTCCCAGTCTTGATGGCACAGCTCCGCCTTTTCCTGTAGAAACACTGGCTGATTACCACTTCTGCCCTGTCCTGCTCACCTCTGCCCCAGAATCCTGAGGGGGAGAATATAAGAGAGAAAACCTATTTTTGTTTTTTGAAATGAACATTACCATCAATTTTGTTCTGTGAATTTTTGCATTAAATATTGTTATGTGTCTATTCATTAAAAATAATCGAGGTGGTCATTAGAGGGAAAGGGGGTGGAAGAGGTAAAAGAGGGTAAAGGAGGGACAAATGGTGATGGAAGGAGACGACTTGAAATGGTGAACACACAATACAATATTATATATTATAGTATTATATAGTATTAGTATTATAGAGTTGTACACCTGAAACTTACATAATTTTATTAACCAATGTCAGCCAATAAATTCAATAAAAATTTTAAAAAATCTTTCTCTTCTTTAGGCTCAATCTCAGTATCCTAAAATAGAATTTAAGACGGAAAAAGTAAAGTAAAGATGCTTGTTTAAGGTTATTTGTAGCATTTTTTTTCTATCTAGTCTAATTTGAGGGTATGTAATAAACAAGACATTATCTCTCTGCGATATCCTAAAACAATAAGACTTGATTCACTACAATCTGTGTATCTAATGAATACAGAGCTGTAGAAGATTTCATTT